GTGAAAATATAGAATCCAGTAAGCACTCAAAACCCATTTCTGGTTCTGTCCAATGTGAATTGTAAAAATATGGCTGTCGCCTCTCTGTCAAGGAAGGTGGCTGTGAAGATCTAGTGCTAGTGAAGATCTAGTGAAAAGCAAAAATGCTACACAAAGAGATGTTCACTAGTGAAGATGAATCATTACATTGTGTTGCTGTTCCATATTAAAATTTGGACCAACTATTAAACTCAGGTTCTTTTAAACCATGACTACAAGAGCCAGGCAAAAATCATCTTGATAAAGCAATGCCAAGTATATTAACCGGTGAAAAACCTGGTCGTAGGGTACATTAAACGGCTTAAGGGAATCACACAAATCATACAAATTAGCTAGTCATTAACAACATGGTTTGCATATTTCCACAAAGTGCTACACAAATATGCAAACCATGTTGTTAATGACTAATTAATTAATTAATGACTAATAAGTTTCATTTATTTCATAGGGCCTAGCAAAACTGCTTTTTATTAGCAGTTAAAAGTATGTTTTATCATATGTATATAATTGTATTTCAATATGTTAGTAAAAGTTCTTTTAATATCTTGTCAAATTAGTTTCCAAATGCCCCAACTCATCTTATGAGGATACACTACTACTTATTTTCTAAATAGCAATGTTATTGTACTTACTGATTTGGATCTGATCCATAATCCACCAGAATATCAACTAATTTTGTAAGGCCTAATAATGCTGCAATGAAAAGTGCTGTCTGGCCCAGGGAATTAACTGCATCGACATAAATTCCTGCAAAACAAATACCAGGATCAATGTAAGTAACAGGGCATTTCCTGATGTAAAACTAAGGAACTTCATATTAGGGGGGAAAAAAAATAAAATTCATTTATACAATGCTTTCATATATTACTATTGCAAACTTTTTTTAAAAAGAAAAAATGAAAGCCTTCATTAGGCACACAAACACAAAAAGCCACAGAGCAAGTAGAAGGCAACAATAGTTGGCTTCATCAAAAACATTCTTTACAGAAAGTTGGACTAAAGCATTTCACCACACTTTGGTACCAAAAAAATGGACTAAAATTATTCTTAACCTCCAGAGGATGGTAATTGGGGGTGCTTATGATACTGTGAATTAGGGAGAATATAATATGGAACAGAAGGCCCCACCTTTATACCCTGCTAAAATATAATGACTATCAATTGAGGTAAAGTTAATTAGGATCAAGGCCCCAATCCTATCACGTGTTAACAAGAAGCCTACCAATAAAGATAACAGAACATCTAAAGCCAGTACAAAAAATGCTACAGCTTTAAACATACCATAAAGAAAACTACTCATCATCAAACTTTTACGACATGTGTGAACACTTCACTTTAGGTAACACCTCAACACAAAAGAAAAAACGCCCAAGTTCATAACAATGATAGCTCTACATAACTCTAGCACTAATACAGCCTAATTTTATATTACGGAATGAAGACAGAAACCACTCAGACCGCGTCTTCTCCCTCTTAACCTTCCAAAGGAAGGAAAGAACGATCATCAATGACCAATGGCAGTTGCAATAAGCAACACCAAAAGCCAGCTTCACGCTCAGGAGATGACGCTACAGCTCCTCCTCGTGGTTTCGGGTGCTCTACACGATCAGAGAAACTTCTCTAGTAACAAACTATAGAAATGATCCCTGAAAGTATAGTCTTAACCTGCAACCGCTGGTTTTTCGAAAGTGAACGAAACCCACACATATTTTACTGATGGTGAGTTTTTCTAACGGCACTATTTTGTCCAAATGTATATTAGCCTGTGTTTCCTAAAGAATCTTTCATTTCCCAAAGCTTGATAAAGCATGTTTACTATTCTTGCATTCCCGAAGACATTTCAAGCTGGCATTTAATTAACATACGGTTGCTAAACAGCCAATGACACGCCAGTTATTTTTCAACCCCGCCCTGCTTCTCGCTGCAGTTTCGCAGCGTCAGTTTTACGTGAAACGGTGACAACTACAAAGTGCGCGGGCGTGTTAGGACCCGCCTCAGTTTAGACCTACGCATGAATGCTGAGACCTTAACAAGAGAAAAAAAGTATAAGTGGAAGATGAAAGTAACGTCCCAATGTCTATGACATTTGCAAAACGTTCTCTGTTTTTAAATTTTATTCTGTGATCAAAATACCAGATATATACATGTTCTCTTGGATTTTTTTTTTTCAAATCAAGAAATTTTTATGTACATGAAATTATGTTTAAACAAGCAGGATGATGCATCTGTTAAAGAAAAAAGCCACAAGCCGCAAATGGCGTCACTCATGCTAAAAGCCCATATCAAACCTGGACTTAATACCTCATCTAATTGCAGTTTTAACTTCTCCCAGAAACACAATCTTAATTAACCAGTCTAGAATTTTCTGGTCAAGCACCAGTAAGGTAATCTGTTGCATAGGTCCTCTCCATCCCCCATATAAAGAAACAATCTACATGATTAAAAATAAAAAATAAAAATCCCATGTCTGTTCCCCAAAGAAAAGATGTGCTGGCCCCAAAATAATCCTTCCTTTTCTTTCACTAATAGCTCCCTTGCCCCACCCTGCTTCCTCTAAAAACCTTCTATTGTATACAACCCCTCAGAGCGTACTTCTAGTCGCTAGATGGGATGATGCTGGATTCATGAACTGCATAATAAACCCAATTACATCTTCAAATTTACTTAGTTTAATTTTGTGTGTGTGTGGTTTTTTTTTTTAACACATCATTCCCCTGCTTAAAGCTTCCCAGCTCTTAGGCTAAAGATAAAACCTCTCTAAATAGTTTACAAGGCCCTTCTTGATCTGGCACACACTCACACCTCCAACCTTATTTTTCACCAAATTCCCCTCACTCCAGCCATACAGAACTTACAGTTCCTCATACTCATCATGTTTCCTTTTGCCACAGGGCCTTTGTATAAACTGTATTCTCTGCCAGGAATTCTCTCCCCATTCCTTCCCTAACTTAACTTCAATTCATCATTGGGAATTGTCTCAGAGAACCATTCTCTGACATCCTTAACCAGATCAAAAAACTCTTCTGTGTGATTATTTGATTAATCCCTGCTCCCAGCATAAGACTATGTTACAAAAGGGCAGACTGGACAACGAAATGGCTTTCCATACACACAATATCCCAAGCATCTAGAATTGAAGGAAAAACCCCAGCAAAGGTGTCCAGTGCACAGAACCAGGAAATGTAGGGGTAGTTAACATTATCATTGGCCATTTTAAAGCCATAGGGAGAAATGAGTCGTGAAACATACTACCCAAACAGCTGAGGTCGAGGTCGTGGAGCCCAGAGGGTCCACTAACATCTTCAGGGACAAGCTGAAAGAAAAAAAGCCAAAAAGTAGGGCAAGAAGGACATCAAGAGAGGTAAGAGAAAAAGCTGAAACAAATGGGTCACAGTGACAAGAGGTAAGAGTTTCAAAAAAAGAGTATCATACTGTTGAATTGTACACCAGAAACTTACTGGATTTTGTTAACCAACGTCACCATAATAAAAATAAAATAATAAAAGAAAAATGTTTTGCTAACCAAAAAAAAAAAAAAGTATCGGTCAACAGCTTCAAAGCTAGAGAAGTTTAGTAAGAAGAAACAGTGTTCTTGGTGAGAGCAGTGTTAGTGGGATTCACATTTCTTACTGTTCAGGGCTTGCTGTGCTACAAGTTATTTGTGGCATGTCTGTCTCCCTACTAGGCTGTCTCTTTAACCTGGAGTGTAAGAAGTGCCTAATTTATCTGTCTTCAGTGCCTGGTAAATTTATCTGCCCAAGCAAGCCTAAGAGTAGAGAAGAGCAGCAAAGAACAGTGTGGGAAGACAATTCTCCATGGATTGCTCCTGTTTCTACATGTCATGAGAGTGAGGCCCTAACTATCCTTTTTTTTCAAGATGTTTGTACACCAAACTTTGGAAGATATATCAGAGCAGAATGCAGGCATGCTTATTGTCCAGTATAATAAAGATAATGTCTCCCTTTGGAACAAAGGTCCATTATAAAAGATTTGGGCTGGGTTCCTGGAGCTCGGGGTACTTCTACTGCACAGGAACCCACTACATGTGCAGTGTTATCTAGTTCTTTTCATGGCTCAGTGGGAACTGGAGTTTGAGGAAGCAGCACTAAAAATGCTAATGTTCTAATATTCTAGCTACTGCTGTTGCTATGAGTAATAAACTATCATTGAACTCTGAAGCAGGTATTTCGTGTCTTCTGCCTATATCCATAAAACTGTAGCAGGCTAATCCATAGACAGACAAGTGAAACTGCAAAGATAAAAGTGGGTTTATTCACTGGCATGAGAATTGAATTAGATGAATAGATCCTGCTTTCCCAGTTTATTAAGGGCACTGCCACCTCCAACAGGAAATGAAGTCTGTACCTAAAGTGAACTATATCACATAATAGTCATTAGAATTATAAGATTTTTTACTGATTTTTTTTAGGCCAGTGTTCAATAACAAATGTGATATATTAAATGTAAAACTAGAGTAGCTTCCTAAAGCAGATATCAGGAAAAACATCTGATTAGCCTGGAACGATTTAAAGGTGAGGCCAAAAATGAAAGCAAAATATTTAGACTAAAAAAACATACACACATGAGACTAACAAGGTTGATTTATAATTTCATTTAGCTAAAGAAACATAGTTAAAATAATCATAGCACTGACGAGAAAAAAAAGAAAGAACTGTGAACAACAAAAAAAAAAGTGGGGGTGGGGGGGCTACTCTGGCAAGCCTGACAAGCTTAGGAACTAAAAGTAACCACACAGGATGTTTAAATCATTACAAAAAAAAAAAAAAATCCTAACTGGCAAGTTATAATGAGAAGTCACGTCCTAAAACCTATATGATAGGTTAACCTTCACCTTGAGCAAGCCCCATCCAGATTTTATGCTTCTAGAATAACATAATGTCAGAATGATCTTCTTCAGATCTCCAAAGATAAACACCCCTCTTACCAGGTAAGGCCATCCCAACATTCCTCATTATCTTTAATTCTCATACTTCTGTAAACTATGTTAAATGTTTCTTATCCTATACCCACCAATGTAAAAGAAACATCTCTCCATTTTGCTTTCTCTCACCTCCTTAATCTTCCACCAGTGGACTTCATGTGGCCTCCATAAAACTATTACTCCTCGGGGACTGGCCCCTAAACCTTGGCTCAAATAAACTCTTAAACCCAACCTTTCTGTAGGTTTGAAATTTATCTTTATGGCGCAGCATAAGAACAAACCTTCTCAAAACAATTAAAAACATCAAATGTGCATTTAAAACTAAATTACTTTGATAGACTGTCTACTACTGCTCAAAACACAGGTGCTTCAAACACCTTAACAACAAAACAAGGTTCAGACAAAACTTGTCCAGGAAAGGTGGCAACTACATGTAAACACCATATACTCACTGGCAAAAAAAGCAGAAAATACTTGGGGAGAAGGAAAAATCCCTCTCCTACCACAGAAAAAGCTATGAAAATGTAAAACAAATGACAAAGACTAAGCAAAGAAAAAATCATACCAAAACTGAAAAAATACAAATGTAACCATACACTTGGGATTAAAAAAAAAAAAAACCAAACAAAATGAAGTATTATAACACTAGCACAGTTAGTTAACCGAGAACCACTCAGACTGCATTCTCTCCTTCTCACTCTCTCAAAGAGAGAGAAGAACGATCATCAATAGCTAGTGGCAGTTACAAATGCAACACCAGAAGCTAGCTTCACGCTCAGAAGAGAATACTGCACCTCCTCCTCATGGTTTCGGGTGCTCTACACATTCAGAGAAACTTCTCTAGTAACAAACTATAGAAATGATCCCTGAAAGTATAGTCTTAACTTTGAACTTGCCGCCTCTGCTGGGTCTATGGCAGCCGTAAACCTTTTACTCATGGTGATGTTTTAACGTTCTTTTAAAAATATCTTATAAACATATTTCAAAGTGTCGTTTTACATACAACTTTTAAACAAATTCTGTATACTATTAAGAGTTTTTTTCTTTAAGAAGCTAAGACTTCAAATAAAAGAAAAAAAAAGACTTCAAGTTCTTTATTAACATATTATGACCAACAACCAATCAGAAGCTCTTATGTCTTTTTGTCTCCTAAATCACTAACACTCCCAGACTGGTGTAAGACAAAAGCTATGCTTGGGTATATCAAATAGTTCTCTAATCTTAAATATGACACAAAGCGTCTATGGATAAGATTTTTAAAATTTGTTTAATCTCTAAGATCCTGAATTTTAAAAGGTAATAGGGTTAATTTCACCCTTTTACTTTGAGACTATCTGCTGGTTACCTGAGTGTGGACCTGAGGGGCACATACTGGCTCACCTAGGTAGTTTTTCAAAATAAGGTACCCAAGCCAATCTTAAATGGATAAAGAAGAGGTTTATTTGGAAAAACAATTCTCTATACTTATTTTTTTTAATTAGGAAAAAAAGCAATGAAAAACTATAGCATTGTTACTTCATGTTGGGGGCAAGGAGGGGAGAAGGATCTGATTTTTATTGGTAATTTTGTACATTTTTTGTACTGTTTAAATTTTTTTTAACCTTAGACTATATCATCTTTATTTTTAAATATCAGCATGTCTACCTATCCAGAAATTACAGCTTGGTTTTAGTTTTCTTTTTTGTGCCCCTCAATATTAAAAAAATAATAATAAAATCCAACCTAAAGAAGTCATACTATTTTTTTAAAAATGACTTGCCAGGTGAGTTTCAAGAGTTGCTTACCCCTCCTCTTCTCCCAAGAAAATTCTGATTTAAATATGATTTCTCTTAAGTCATTAGGCGGGGAGGGGGAGCTACCATATCTCCAGTACTTTAATATGTTCCAGGCCTTCTACTAAACTCTTTAAAACATGGATCATCCCATTTTACCTTGGAAATAACCCTAAGAGGTTGAGGAAATAGAAACTTAGAATGTTAAAGTGGCTCACGCAGGCCACGAGGCTGTCTCCTGCTGCCTTGAGCACTGATAGTCCTCCCTTCTGTATGTTGAAAGCATATGACCCACAGGAAAGGCTCTTTGTGTTTTGCCCAGAGATAAAAGTTGTAGGTAAAATTTAATAAACTGCACAGTAGAAGAATAATAAAGGCTACTACATTTCAGAAGAGGAAGAGAAGCAGATCACTTTAAAATACATCAAAGAAGAAACTAGCGCAGAATACTTTTAAAGAATAGAGGAATGGTGCCAAACATTAGACTTGTGGGCTGAAGCCAGGCCCTGAAAGGCCTTAGGGCACCAACATATTTTTAGAGAGCATTTCTACCAGGTCAGAAAATCAAAAACGGATTTTTTTTTTTTTCCAAAAGCACTTAAAATAATAAAAGATAATTCCCGATCAGGCCTCTGTTGAAGAAAGGATATCCACATACATTTTGCTTACAACTGTTTGATGGGTCGCTGCTTCCACATTAATAGGAATGGTGAAAGTGCTGTTGGGAGATGAAACCTTGTTATTCCAAATAACAGCCAGAGATGTGGACTCATGGTTTGCTTCTTAGATGTATTGTGTTTATGCCCCCCACAACTAAGGCCTTCCCTTCTCTTGTTCCCTTTGCCTAAAACACTGATTGAGAGTCAGTACATCTGGCATCTTGGACCAGTCTGGCCCACATTTCCTCTAATCACAGATGTAGATTTCATATCTTTAAAACTATGTGAAATGAAAATGCTATAGCTACCAAATTAGTGCTTATATTTTAAACAACAGCTGCCTATTATAAGGTTTTCCAACCATACATCCCATGCTCATCCTTGTCACCAGCTAGTCCTTTCAGCAGCCAGATAATAAGGTTTGACATGTTCACTATGTCTAAGAAGTTTTGTTCTGAACAACCTCTTGGTGCTTCCTTTGCTTACCTTTAAAATGGGCATGAAAATACTGGAACCTATGTCATATAAAGGAGACTGCAAAAATGAGGTAACATTTGTGAAATGCCTTAACAGAATCTGGCAATCAGGGAGCACTTATATGATCTTTGCATGCTTTACAAGGACAATGTGCACACTACTGATTAGTGGCAATCACTGAACTGTTTTCATTCAGTTGTTGACACTGGTTTTTCTCCCACTCTTCGGCAGTTTCAAAAACACACAGCTATCCCTGACACCACAAAAGGGAAGGGAGAGTTTTGTGGACATTTTTCAGAACTTTGTAATTAATGAATCGATGAAGTGACAGGGAATATATGTCACTGGTGATTTGCCTAACTTCATGGCCTCAGGTTTGAGTCTCCAAAAGTGGCAGGTTAATATGACACTATTATGATTGAGATCCAGTGATTCTCAACTGGGGGCCTTTCTCCAAAATCCATGGAGAGATTTTTCAGAATACAGTAAAGATACTGGCCCTAGGAGCTTATGAGAATCTAGATGGGTCTAGGATGGGTGGGAATTACGTGTTTTGGCTGACTCTCATGCCTGTGAAACCATTCATAATGGTAAAAGGTTAATAATAATAGCAAAATCTATTAAGCTCCCAATATTATACTACACTCTGTGCTAAAAGTTTCACACATATGTCATTTAATCTTTTTTGAGGTAGTTATTATTATTATCCCCATTTTATAACAAAGGAAACTGAGACACAGAGAGTCTGATAACTTGGCCAAGGAGATGTCAATCTGGAGCTGGCTTCTGGCCACTCTGTTGGGCCATGGGACTTACTGGTGAACAATGAAATATCTTGGGTGCTACACTCAAATTATTATTTATTTTAATATATATTTGGAAGACATTACAAAGTAATAATGAGCCACTACTTACAGGCCTATTGAAATAGCTAAGATCCAAAACACCAAGCCCTGGCAAGCAACAGAAATGGTAAGCTACCCTTTCTCACCATTTTCTGTTTTTTGTAGAGCAAAAGAAAGTCTCATTCATTGCTAGTGGGAATGTGAAATGGCACTGCCACTTCGGAAGACACTTTGGTAGTTTCTTACAAGGCTAAACATAGTTTTTCCATACAATCTAGCAATTGTACTCCTTGGTATTAACCTAAAAATTAGTTGAAAGCTTATGTCCTCACAAAAATCTGCACATGAATGTTTACAGCAGCTTTACTCATAATTATCAAAATGTGGAAACAACCAATATGTCTTTCAGTAGGCGAATGGATAAGCAAACTGTGGTACATCCAGACAATAAAATATTATTCAGTGATAAAAGTAAATGAGCTGTTAAGTCACCAAACGACATGGAGGAATCCTAAATGCATACTGCTAAGTGAAAGAAGCCAATCTGAAAAGACTACATCCTTTATAATTGCAACTATATGACATGGAAAAGGCAAAAATATAGAGACAGTAAAAAAATCAGTGGTTGCCAGGGTTCAAGGGAGAGATGAACAAGAGCGGCATACAAGATTTTTAGGCCAATGAAACTATTATAGTATGATACTGTACTCACAAACACATAACATTATATACTTGTCAAAACCTGTAGAACTGTATAGCACAGAGTAAATCCTCATGTAAACTATGGACTTTAGTTAATAATAATGTATCAATATTTATTTTAAAAAACACTCATTGAAACTATCAATTAAACCTGTGGCTTCAAGGATATCTTGTTCAGAACAGGAATCAAGTAGGTAGTGCTGGGTAATCCACTAGAAGCAGACCACGAGACTCGAGGGTGAGATGCCTGGAGTGCCCATGAAAGACCTATAGACCACGTATGTCCAGGAGTATGGATGGTACTCAAGGCACCACAGAACTGTCATAGGCTCTGAGCACTGGGAAAAACTAACGACGAGCATATACGCCCCAGGCAGAATATGAGAATTTTCTCCGAGTGTGTGGGGGGGCGGCGGGGAGAGAAACCAAGACCCCAGGGGGAATAAAAAGACCTCTGTGTACTAATATTTAAGAGTTACCATGCCCACCCAGTCATTTAAAAGTGAAGCCCAGGAAGTAAAAGCCCCACCATGCCCGCAAAACTTCCAATTGGCTTTTTCCAACCAGCTTTTTAGTGGCTCACTTTAAAACTCTGACGGGCCAGAATCTCCACAGGCCCAAGGAAAGCTCTCAGTGAGAGAGAACAAAATAAACAGGAAAACTTTATTTTATACTTCCTAACAATTTCATTCAGTAGCAAAGTTTAAAACATCATTTTTCCTTGTAAATTTTTCAGAAACATCAAAATTGCAATAGGCGTTATCATACGGCTTCCTAGCAGCCAATCACATCCTGCGTGCATCTGACTCCTACTCAGTGAACTGCTATTATCCCACCCACCGCACCAGGCACCATCTGGGTCTAGGTGGGTCCCACCGGTGGACTGTAAGCTAAAGTAGTGGTATTCTCGCTCCTTGTCCAGACGCGCTGCTTCTTGCCTGCTAAAGAAGTCTGCCAGCTTGGAAAGACCAGATTTCTTTTGCCTTGAAAGAGAGAAGAGGGGTTACTATGTGATAGCCTGCTGAAATGTGAAAGGGTTAAAGGATAATTAAAACCTGAAACTGGACAAAGGAAGTCTATACCTTAGGCCTAGTTTCTGGAACCCCTAACCGCATTCTGTTAATCATGAAACTTGTAACAATGAGCTCATACACTAACTGCCAATTTTAGCCTGTGTAACCCTGCTTGCTTGCGTGGCATGAAAAATAATTAATTGTATATAAGCTGAAAATTACTGTTTGGCCATCGCCCATGGGAACACTGGCTACTGCCCATGGGAACATAGGCAATCACCCATAGGAACATAACATTCTAACAACAAGCTTTCTGCTTCTGTACTCCCTGCTTGCACACCTGACCAGTGGGTTGACAGGTAGTAAATAGGAGAGAAATAGATCTTTGTGTTTAAGATAGAATGAAGAATGGGA